CCATGTCTGTTGTCTATCGTGCCCGTGGTCGGTGGTCGCTTCTGATCAGTACTGGCGTATTTCGCATTATGTTGAATTTCATTTCATATCCTTTTCCTACCTGTACAAAATGGAAATATATATAATATATATATATATATATATATATATATATATATATATATATATATATATATATATATACATATATATTTAAGTCGATTTTTTTTTCCAAAATAATAAATTCTGGTTGAAAGAATTCTTAGTTTGTATTCAACTCCTAGAAGACTTGCAGTAAGGCAGAATTGTACTTCCTCCAGGTGGGCTGGAACTGATACATTCCTTTACTACTTCTTCATGGAAGGTAAGAGGTACACTTGTCTTATTTTGGTGCTGGGGATTTTTTTCCCTCCCCCAATATGTCATCATCACCAGACTTGCCCGCTATTCAAGAAAAAATGCTGTGGCCTAAGCTATGTTTATGAATAATTCAATTTCATTTATAGGATTGCTCTAATGAGTAATTTTTCCTAGTCGTTGCCGGCCATACTAGTCCTACGCGAACGTTCTATGAAAACGCTTGTTTTGAATCCGCAGATTCATCGCCAGGGAGCCGTGCGAATCCGCCGTGTGCTGAACAGTTCGTATTCGGTGGTGGTATATGGTGGCCACACTGTAAGTCAACTGTATTCAGAATATATTGCTCAGGCGTGTGGTGAAAATATTACATCAAGAGTCGTGAAATATTCTACATTTGTTTGTGTATTTGCATTAAATGTATATATAACTTATCAATCTATATGTATACGTGCGTATATATATATGCAATATATACGTATATGTATATGTATATGTATTGTGTCTTATATGTATATATATAAATGTGTGTGTGTGAGTGTGTACACGCATGTGTTTTTTATAGAATTGTAGTAAGAGACAGGTTTATAAATAAGTATCGAAGGGATCAATTTTAGTCTTTATTGCAAGCTCGGAAGCAGGTTTCAGTTCTAGTCAGTCACTTTGCACGAGATTCCAGCCTTTGACTCTTGACAGCTAATCTCTGCTCAGGGAAAGGGAATCACAGTTGCATTTCCTCATGGTTGTGGATGTGAATTAGAATGTGTAATGGTTGAATGATTGTTCAAGATGAGAAAGGGAACATCAAGTAAATTCATTGAGGACAATTGCTTATATAAAATGAGTGATGGGTGAGTATAAAATGAGTGATGTGAGGTTTTATCTAGCATGAGAAGACGGTGTCGAGCATGACGAAGAGATCCTCCCTTGAAAGGACACACTTGTTGAATCGGACGCTGCACGCCTTGGGGTCGTCCTTGGCGAGGGCGATGGCCTGGTCGTACTCGATGCGGGAGGACTTGAGGTTGTCGGGATTCTCGAAGGCCGTCTTGAAGGTGGACATGGATGGGGTGAGGCTGTCGGCGGGCGTCGCCTCGATCTCGCACAGCAACTTGGCGATGCAGCCGGCCGAATCCAGTTCCTTGGCGACGGCCACCTTTGGAGGAGCAAAATATATTGGATTAGATACACCGCGCAGTGCATATCATCTGTGTTGGTGAGAAGCACGTTAGAAATATAATTTGTCCATCTGAACTTGCAATATGAACATTCCTCTTAACATCGTCAGTACAAACCTCAGCTTCATCGTCGATCTCCATAGAATCGACGTCCCTCCTGTAACGGCGCTTGAGATGCTTCCCGATAAGAACTCCCTTGAGCACTGCCAGGGCGCCCACGCCCAAAGCTGCGCTGCAGAAGCAGTGACAGTGGTAGCGGCGATGGTCCGGCTGCGGCGGTGGTTCCCAAGAGGATGAGAGACTCGGAGGAGGCCCAGAGGCCGCACAGGAGGAGAGCGACGAACACGCGAGAGTTCATGGTTATATTGTGGTTGAAGCTGAAGGAGGAATTTAGTGGTTTAAAAATATGTATGGAAGAATATATGCGGGATGCATTATTTTTGTCCATAAAATATTATCATTAAGATATTACGTCTATGATCGGTATTTACATATCACCATTGACACCAAAAGAAGAGAGAGATTTCTAAAAAGTCCCCCCTTACCTGCTTGCGTTTCCGGCGAGGGCGTACAGGATTCTGCTTCGACCCCAGCGCCTCTCCCCGTATTTATGGTGCTGGGAAGGACCCACAGAAGGTGAAGGACCTCGTTCCTATCTGATGGAGGGAATCGCACAAGTTTACCCAAATGTAACGACTGGTCACCCATTTAATGTTCTTCTGGATGTGTGTGTGAGTACCATATTATACGCCAAAGAAACTGCATTCCATAGCACTAAAAAACTTTAACCATTTTTTAAATCAAACAAAAGGCATATTAATTGTGGAAATGTGTCCCAAAGCTTTTGAGTCTCATAAGATATCTTATCCGTAATATCTTAGTACTTATATACAGTTTTATACTTGTTAATTATGCTTAACCCCCCACCAAACTAAAAAGCACTGTCCCAAAGTATTTGTTTATCTTATCCGTAATATCTTTGTACTTATATACAGTTTTATACCTTGTTATTTATGTAATCCCCCACCAAAATAAAAAAAAAATCTGTCCCAAAGTATTTGTTTACAAGGCTTTCTTGCACTCCAAATCTCGTCGCTTGGAGGCCTTCGAACTTATGGTCAGTGCATTATTTATGCCATTGATTTCAAAGGTTACCAGGGAAAGGAAATCAGCATAGCTGAACTTTGTGTTTTCACTGACCTTTCCAAAAGGTCTTGGGACACGGGCGATTTTTGGATGATTTTTCAGGGTAAAAAAGAAAAAACGATGTTCATACAACTGTGCATATTGCAGACACACGCACACTCACACGCGTATGCATATACTCGTTTATATATGTGTGCAGTATATATACAATAATATATATATATATATATATATATATATATATATATATATATATATATATATAATATATATTAATTATTGATGTATGGCGATATTCCCGACGGTATCTATATGCATTATGATAATGATACCAGTTATGATAACTATGATTATAATAGTGATAATGATAGAAAAAGATGATCATAATAACTGCAGTGACAATGATAGTAATAGTAAAATGATACTGTTGATGATAGTAATTCTAATAACTGTAAAGACAATAGAAAAAGTAATAATGATGATATTATCACAATGCTAATGATAATCATAATGATAATGCTGATAATAATAATATTAATCATACCAATAATCTTGATGATGCTGATAATATCGATAATGATTATGATAAAGATAATGTTAATGGTAATAGAAGCTGTTTTCAAAACATATTTTTTGATCTGGTGTGTTCCTCCTTCGAATGCTTCTATGCATATTCTAAAACTGTCTATATAAGTATATATGTTTGCATGTGTATGCATGTATGCATATTTGCATATGTACATATACATATCTATCGACCTAATTGACTCTACGTATATTTACATTGCATATGATGCGTATTTCCGTCAATGCAGGTTTCCTGAAAATATAGAGATTACCTCACACATTTTACCTTGCTGTAGTACTCATTCATAGATCTGCAGTTGAGCCTTTTATCTCCCCTTTGACCCTGCTGGTCTGCTGAGGTGAGCTGTCTCGGCAACGAATCGCCTGCTGTTGTCGCATGGGGAAGAGTGAAAGGAGGATTTTCGAATTTATGGAATAGGTGTCTCCGTGATAAACTGTGAGAGAAGAAACGGGACATCACTTTTGTTCAGTAAGAAGACAAGAAAGGCATCCAGTCAGTTAGGCAAGGGTGGCAAAGCCAATTCAAGAGTACCTTGTCAACACAGGGAGTGGCCAGTGATGCCAAAACCATTCGTCCCCTGGGAAATGAGCATATATATGTTTATATATGCAACGAATATATGTATATATATTAGTATATATATACTATGTATATAAAGGTATATTTATGGTATATATGTATATATATCAGTATATATATACTATATATATAAAGGTATATTTATGGTATATATGTATATATATCAGGATATATATTCTATACATATAGTATATAAACTATACATATATATGGACATATATATGCACATATATATATGTATATGTATAACATATGTAGATATATGGATGAATATAGTTATATATTACATCACCACTTGCATGCGTATTTAGCGAAGGATTGGAAAATAAATGTAATTTCTCGGAGAAATATGATTTATTTCATTTGATGGTAAGCAAAAATGAATAGCGTTATGAACACTGCAGATATTCACTGTGACTCTCAGGTCCAGTCAGTGACAGTCTGAAAGCTACCTTCGGTCACAGTGACGACTCCGATCCACTCAGTCTGCCTGCGTGTGCGCGTGTGATGGTGTGATTGTGAGGTGCTTAGTGTAAGAATGCGGTGCTCATGACTAGCATGAGAAGGTGGAATCCAGCATGAAGGAGAGATCGTCCCTGGAGAGGACGCACTTGTCGAAGAGGGCGCTGCAGGCCTTGGCGTCTTTCTTGGCGAACTTGGAGCCGAAGGTGATGGCCAGGTCGTAGACGCCTCGGGATCCCTTGAGGTTGCTGTTGTTGTCGAAGGCGGTCTTGAAGGTGGACATGGCTGGCGTGAGCTGGTCAGCGGACATGGCCTCGATTTCGCACAAGAGCTTGGCCACGCAACCAGCAGAGTCCATCTTCTGGGCCACAGCAATCTGTTGGAGTGAAAAGAATATTAGTAAAGTCCAGAATTCCTTTATGTATGTGCCTTTCATTCCACATATACATAATTGCACAATTAAATTTTGTGAATGTAATTTCTATAAGCGTTAACTTACTTCTGTTGCAACGTCCTCCTCCATGGAATCGACGTCCCTCCTGTAACGGCGCTTCAGATGCTTCCCGATAAGAACTCCCTTGAGCACTGCCAGGGCGCCCACGCCCAAAGCTGCCGCTGCAGAAGCAGTGACAGTGGTAGCGGCGATGGTCCCTGCGGCGGTGGTTCCCAAGAGGATGAAAGACTCGGAGGAGGCCCAGAGGCCGCACAGGAGGAGAGCGACAAACACGCGAGAATTCATGATGGTGGCGGAGTCTGGAGAAAAGTTGACAGTGAGGCTACGCAGAAAGCTAAAATCGTCAGAAGTCGACGACCTGAGACATATTCAAGAGTCTCACAGGAAACAATTTCAGAAGAACCAGAAAAGAGGATCTTTGTCCCTTACCTGCTTGTGTTCTGGAGCAGTGAGAGGACGAGTGTGATGGCGGTTCCTGGCAGAGCGCGATATTTATAGCGAGTGGACGGAGGCAAGGGGGGTGAAGGACCTGATCCTGGGTGAGAGGGAAAGCGAACGTATCCTATGGTGCAGGTAAGGCCTATTGACGTTAAATTAGTATAGTATTTCAATCCTTACGTACGTGCTTCCTCAACGCACAAATGTGCTTGTATCTGCTCTGAACGTTCGTTACAAGACATCGCTTTATATGTATTTGTATGCACATTTTAAATCCACAGACGCACGTGTGTGTATGTATATATGTATGTTAGATGGATTTACACACAAACACATACATACATACTTGCACACAGTGTGTGTGTGTGTGT